TGTGTGTATGTGTGTGTGTGTGTGTGTGTGTGTGTGTGTGTGTATGTGTGTGTGTGTGTGTATGTGTGTGTGTGTGTGTGTGTGTGTGTGTGTGTGTATGTGTGTGCGTGTGTGCTCACCTATTTGTGCTTGCAGGATCGAGCATTGGCTCTTGGATCCCGCCATGTGTGTGTGTGTGTGTGTGTGTGTGTGTGTGTGTGTGTCTACACAAGCACGCACACGAGGAGACGTACCCATGTCTGGTAGCTGAGCGGACAGCGCGCAGGACTCGTAATTCTGTGACCCGGGTTCGATTCCCGAACCAGGCAGAAACAAATGGGCAAAGTTTCTTTCACCCTGATGCCCCTGTTACCTAGCAGTAAATAGGTACCTGGGAGTTAGACAGCTGCTACGGGCTGCTTCCTGGGGATGTGTGTAGGAAAAAAAATTAGTTAGTAGTTAGTTACAGTTGATTGATTGACAGTTGAGAGGCGGGCCCAAAGAGCCAGAGCTCATCCCCCCTTCCCTATGCCCCTGTTACCTAGTAGTAAAATAGGTACCTGGGTGTTAGTCAGCTGTCACGGGCTGCTTCCTGGGGGTGGAGGCCTGGTCGAGGACCGGGCCGCGGGGACACTAAAGCCCCGAAATCATCTCAAGATAACCTCAGGAAGAAGCTCAACTAGGTGAATACAACTAGATGAATACACACCACTCCTGTTGTTGTTGTTGTTTTAGATTCAGCTACTCGGAACATAAAGTTCCAAGTAGCACGGGCTATGGCGAGCCCGAAAACACACCACCCCCTTGTGGTGAGTCCTATATACCAGTGGAGCCGTGAGTGACTCCCACGTCACACTCCTCCCAGTAAATCCTCCCACCTGACTGGTTAACAAGGCACCGTAACTGGCTAATCACTCTCTTGATATAACCTGACTGGTTAACAAGGCACCGTAACTGGCTAATCACTCTTGATATAAACACCACTTTTACAGTGTATATTATTTAATCAAGACGAAATAAATCTCTCCAACCTAATTGGCCGAGACGACATATTGGCCGGTGATGGTCTAATGCCTGATTGGTTGACACTGCCTCAGCTGGACAAATCCGTGACGAGGATTCGAACCTACGTCCGAGAGCATCCCAGACGCTGCCTTAATCGACTGAGCTACGACATGGTCAAACTCGGACGCAGGTTCGTATCCTCGTCACGACCCTTGTGGATTTTGTTCATTGGATACATCACACTATTGTGATTTCTGTTTGTAACTGCCTCAGCGTTCAAGACTCGACATTTGCAAAACGTTTGCAACACGCTGCAATGTATTTAAATTTGACAGGATTCTGCAACACTGTTCAATCCTGCGGTGCGATTGGTTATAGGAATATTTTAAGTGATTGATACGAATGATTATGATCCTAGGGAGCCGGTCGGCCGAGCGGACAGCACGCTGGACTTGTGATCCTGTGGTCCTGGGTTCGATCCCAGGCGCCGGCGAGAAACAATGGACAGGGTTTCTTTCACCCTATGCCCCTGTTACCTAGCAGTAAAATAGGTACCTGGGTGTTAGTCAGCTGTCACGGGCTGCTTCCTGGGGGTGGAGGCCTGGTCGAGGACCGGGCCGCGGGGACACTAAAGCCCCGAAATCATCTCAAGATAAAAATCCTGACCAATTAGGCGACAAGTGACGTTAATTCGTCACTTCTCGAACGATTGCTTGAGACGTCCTCTTAAGTTAACATCTTAAGACCACCTACGATACATCTTGAGACGATCTACGATACATCTTAAGACCATCTACGATAGACCTCTAGTAGTACGGACCGAAACGTACTATTGTGGTCTGGTCCTCCTAAACAGCTTTCTGTAACGATGTACACCATAGTACAAACATTGACGTACTAAGCAATTATATAGTGGAATTTGGTACTATATTAACTTTTATGGTGCGAAAAAATGAAGCTAAGAACCAAAATTTAAATATTCCTAGGCCTAATATAGTACACATATGTACTATATTAGGCCTCAGATAGCGTATATTAGGCCTAAGAAGGTTAGGATAGATTGTCTTTGCAACATAAATACAAAATCTTTTCCGGTTTGTCAACAAATTCAACAGTACCGATTTCTACTTTCTAATAGCGTTGTAAGTCGATATATGTACTATGGTGCTCATCGTTACTGTAAGTACTCCCAACATAGGTGGTTGAGCTGCTTAAGACGACCTCTTAAGATAATACCTTAAGACGACCTCTTAAGATAATATCTTAAGACTACCTCTTAAGATAATATCTTAAGACGACCTCTTAAGATAATATCTTAAGACGACCTCTTAAGATAATATCTTAAGACGACCTCTTAAGATAATATCTTAAGACGACCTCTTAGAATGATAAGATATATATATATATATATATATATATATATATATATATATATATATATATATATATATATATATATATATATATCTACCTTGGCTCTTTCTCTTGATAATTCCCTTCCATAACTGCAGGGGGGCTCCTCCCCCAGGGTGGGGGAGCTCTCCACCCCCCCCCCCCCCAGTGACTAACACGGTTAGGTGATTCTCCCTCAAGAAGAACTTGCAGCACTCAAGGGGGGCAGCCCCCAGGACGCTATCTCTGCGTCTGAGACGAGTTGCAAGGACCCGTCTTCGCGCCTAATTGGCTGTATCATTCCTATTTACGGCGCAACAGTCGAGCCTGATGGATTGGCCAATTCCATCCTGGCCTCCTCCCAATCACCTAGCTTGATCGCCTCCGCTTGGCACGCCTTAAATAGCCACTTGACGTTTCTAATCAATAAAGACCACATTCAAATTGGACTTGTAACAATGGCTCCAAATTGGTTAATGTTAATGAAAGACCTGGGTGAATACCGGTTAGTGAAAATACGACTGTTTGGCCTAACCAGAAGCGTACGAACCCATGCAACCCTCCACACCTATCGGCGCCGAGGCATAGAAAACGTGGCGTAGATGTACACACACAAGATGATGCGCCACCTAGCGTGACCTAAGACATGAATCTGATTGGCCGTGGGAGATCGGTCAGATGCGGTGATTGGTCAGCTGGAAGGGGTAAGGCACGGTTCCTATATTCTGATTGGCTAAGCGCCTGAAAATGCCATCTTACCAGCTCCAATCATGATTAACGATCATTCTACGTCGAACCAACGACCACGATTGGGTATTATGCCGACTGGGTACGATACCCAATCAACCCACAACAACCCACAATCAACCCAATCAACCTATAAAGGCCAATGGATTAACAAAATACGTCAATATTGCAATGCTTTACTTTTTAATAATAGATCGTATTTGGTGGGGTGGGGGGAGGGTATTATCCGGCTTATAAGCCTCTTTTCCTCGGGTCTGTGGCCGGATATGGCCGGAAAAGTATATTTATTGTGGCCAAAAACATGAATTATTATTAAGAAAAATTAATTTTCTTTCGTTGTCAGAGGGTGAATGGTGAGAAGCCATTTTCACTGTACACTGTTTGGTGTCTGACACGACTGTGTGTGTCCTCACAGTGCACAGTGAGAGATTATACACTTCTCTGTGTGTCTGGTAAGCATACACTGACGCACGCACACACACACACACATACACATACACACACACACACACACACACACACACACACACACACATACACACACACACACACACACACACACACACACACACACACACATACACACACACACACACACACATACACATACACACACACACACACACGCACGCACGTGCGCGTGTATTGTATCGCGAGCACATAAGTTTACATGTTACTTAATATACATTTTTGTACCCAAGAGCTTGATAAGAAATTGTTGTCACAGGGGCCTGCCTCTGGCTCTTGGGCCCTGCCTCTGGCTCTTGGGCCCTGCCTCTAGCCCTTGGTGTTACAGATAGACAGATAATAATGCGTTTTAGACAGATAATAATGCAAGTGTTTACGACCGCTGGCGTAAATAGATAGTGAGGCTATGAGATAGTGAGGATATTAGATAGATAGTGAGGACATTCGTTTATCTCGCTGACTGCTCGTAGACTTTATAGAATCAAAACCGAGAGAGGCGAACCAAAGGCCAGCAATTAAAGGATGTAATTATAAGATAGTGGGCCCAAGCCTCTGCCCCCTCCTTGGGTATGCCAGTCTTGGGCATAACCTGGGTATTCCTGGGTGGGTGAGGGGGGGGGGATTGTGCCCACCTTGCCCTCTGAGGCCCGCCTCCTATCTACGCTTATTGCCCCACTATCAACAACAATCCAACTACCACGACTACCATCACCACGATACGACACTACCACTATCATCATCAACCACCACTACAACAACTATCATCACCGTTGATTTTGTCAGGGTTCGAGCCCTGGGCAGGGAGAGTCAACAGGTGACAAGGGAGAAATTTCTTATCCTGCTAACAGGTATCGGAAGTCCTCTTCTATACCCACCTGTTGAGAGAGAGAGAGAGAGAGAGAGAGAGAGAGAGAGAGAGAGAGAGAGAGAGAGAGAGAGAGAGAGAGAGAGAGAGAGAGAGAGAGAGAGAGAGCCACAACCCTCCACCCCCACACAATATTCACCTTAGAGTCTGGTACCGGCAACAATGGGCCCGACCGTTCCGTAAAGAACTTCACGGTGACGGAACAGTTCCGTCTGCGCCCCCGTCCCCTCCAGCCGTCTAAGATCCCTCCTAACCGCTGCCTTCCGACTCTCAGTACTGACGCCAGACTTCCCAAGCTCACACCGCCGCTCCGGTAACCGTCCGTTGCCGTAAGGAAAGCATTACGTGTGACGCACGTCGGAACCGAGAGCTACAGTGCGTGCTTGTGGTCCGTCCAAGCGAGGCAAAAGATGGCCTTCCACTTCCTGCCTCCAGTGGGATTTCTTCACCAACTACTTTTCTCTCTCTTGCCTTTCTCGTGTCTGTGCCCAATTGTTTCTCACACTTCATGTTCTCGCATCACCATTCTCACTTCCTCGTGCAGGCACCATCAACCACCACAACCACCTCTTCAACACAGTGAACCACCTCTTTAACACAGTGAACCACCTCTTTAACACACTGAACCACCTCTTCAACACAGTGAACCACCTCTTCAACACAGTGAACCACCTCTTCAACACAGTGAACCACCTCTTCAACACAGTGAACCACCTCTTCAACACAGTGAACCACCTCTTCAACACAGTGAACCACCTCTTCAACACACTGAGCCACCTCTTCAACACACTGAACCACCTCTTCAACACACTGAACCACCTCTTCAACACACTGAACCACCTCTTCAACACACTGAGCCACTTCTTCAACACACTGAACCACCTCTTTAACACACTGAACCACCTCTTCAACACACTGAACCACCTCTTCAACACACTGAACCACCTCTTCAACACAGTGAACCACCTCTTTAACACACTAAACCACTTCTTCAACACAGTGAACCACCTCTTTAACACACTAAACCACTTCTTCAACACACTGAACCATCTCTTCAACACACTGAACCACCTCTTCAACACACTGAACCACCTCTTCAACACAGTGAACCACCTCTTTAACACACTAAACCACTTCTTCAACACACTGAACCACCTCTTCAACACAGTGAACCACCTCTTCAACACACTGAACCATCTCTTCAACACACTGAACCACCTCTTCAACACACTAAACCACTTCTTCAACACACTGAACCACCTCTTCAACACACTGAACCACCTCTTCAACACACTGAACCACCATTAGAACCAAAGCTGGGGTGTGGGGGAGCATGATGGGAGAGAGATGGGAAAGGAGGGAGAGTCAAGAGGGCAGGAACAGTCTTTCATATATACATGTTTTGTTGTATTATGATGGAAAGGGTTAAAATTCAGGGGCTCAGGACCTTTTGGTAATTATAAACTCGACAGTCAATTGGTCAATATGTCCTCCTGACTCCCTCCCATCACCAGACTGTCGACACCATCAGCGCCAGTTGTTCTGTCTGGCAACAGTAAACAGGTGAATGAGTGTTGAGGTGCCTGCTACATGGACGAGCATTGGCTGAGGCTGGGGCATGACCTCAAATCACCTGAATGACCTCAAATCACCTGAATGACCTCAAATCACCAGAATGACCTCAAATCACCTGAATGACCTCAAATCACCAGAATGACCTCAAATCACCTGAATGACCTCAAATCACCTGAATGACCTCAAATCACCTGAATGATCTCAAATCACCTGAATGACCACAAATCACCAGAATGACCTCAAATCACCAGAATGATCACAAATCACCAGAATGATCACAAATCACCAGAATGACCTCAAATCACCAGAATGACCTCAAATCACCAGAATGATCACAAATCACCAGAATGACCTCAAATCACCAGAATGATCACAAATCACCAGAATGATCACAAATCACCAGAATGACCTCAAATCACCAGAATGACCTCAAATCATCAGAATGATCACAAATCACCAGAATGATCACAAATCACCAGAATGACCTCAAATCACCAGAATGACCACAAATCACCAGAATGATCACAAATCACCAGAATGACCTCAAATCACCAGAATGACCTCAAATCACCAGAATGACCTCAAATCACCAGAATGACCTCAAATCATCAGAATGATCACAAATCACCAGAATGACCTCAAATCACCAGAATGATCACAAATCACCAGAATGATCACAAATCACCAGAATGATCACAAATCACCAGAATGACCTCAAATCACCAGAATGACCTCAAATCACCAGAATGACCTCAAATCACCAGAATGACCACAAATTACTTGAATGACCTCAAATCACCAGAATGATCACAAATCACCAGCATGACCTCAAATCACCAGAATGATCACAAATCACCAGAATGATCACAAATCACCAGAATGACTTCAAATCACCAGAATGACCTCAAATCACCAGAATGACCACAAATCATCTGAATGACCTCAAATCACCAGAATGATCACAAATCACCAGCATGACCTCAAATCACCAGAATGATCACAAATCACCAGAATGATCACAAATCACCAGAATGATCACAAATCACCAGAATGACCTCAAATCACCAGAATGACCTCAAATCACCAGAATGATCACAAATCACCAGAATGACCTCAAATCACCAGAATGACCTCAAATCACCAGAATGATCACAAATCACCAGAATGACCTCAAATCACCAGAATGACCTCAAATCACCTGAATGACCTCAAATCACCTGAATGACCTCAAATCACCAGAATGACCTTAAATCACCAGCATGACCTCAAATCACCAGAATGACCTCAAATCACCAGCATGACCTCAAATCACCAGAATGATCACAAATCACCAGAATGACCTCAAATCACCAGCATGACCTCAAATAACCAGAATGACCTCAAATCACCAGCATGACCTCAAATCACCAGAATGACCTCAAATCACCAGAATGACCTCAAATCACCAGAATGACTTCAAAACAGGTCAACAGCTTGAGATATGCAATCCAAACAAGTATCCGCCTCAATCCTGTATTGGTAAAGGTGATAGTTATTTGTAATCTAACAACAATTTATTTATGAACTTGTTCAGGGATAGAGTCCCATATCCCCATTACTTCTGTCCCATATCCCCCATTACTTGTCCCATATCCCCATTACTTCTGTCCCATATCCCCCATTACTTGTCCCATACCTCCCAGTAAAGAACCCCTTGAGGTTAGATCAACGATTCTAGCACAAGTCATTTCTACATATATTCCTAATGTTCTTCACTTGGGACTGAAGATTAAAAAATTAACTTTCCAAAAATTCATCTCACAATTTTAGTCTTGCTGACGCGTGTCGCTGAAGGACGCGTTTCGCTGAAGCACTCTTCAGTATCTTCAGAGGCAGAGGGAAAGTGGATACAAAAATAACAAGACTTACATTAATATACACCGTCTGGAATGATGTGAAGAGAAGTGGCTTCAGTGTTTTCTGTGGACGGATGGTGGGCACCTGGACCCTCCTAAGGGCTCCTGGACCCTCCTAAGGGCACCTGGACCCTCCTAAGGGCTCCTGGACCCTCCTAAGGGCACCTGGACCCTCCTAAGGGCACCTGGACCCTCCTAAGGGCACCTGGACCCTCCTAAGGGCACCTGGACCCTCCTAAGGGCACCTGGACCCTCCTAAGGGCACCTGGACCCTCCCAAGGGCACCTGGACCCTCCTAAGGGCACCTGGACCCTCCTAAGGGCACCTGGACCCTCCTAAGGGCTCCTGGACCCTCCTAAGGGCACCTGGACCCTCCTAAGGGCACCTGGACCCTCCTAAGGGCACCTGGACCCTCCTAAGGGCACCTGGACCCTCCCAAGGGCACCTGGACCCTCCTAAGGGCACCTGGACCCTCCTAAGGGCACCTGGACCCTCCTAAGGGCACCTGGACCCTCCCAAGGGCTCCTGGACCCTCCCAAGGGCTCCTGAAACCCTAAGCGAGTTCCTAGAACCTCGCGAGAGCTTCTGGAACGCCCTGAGGGCTTTTGGATCCCAGTAAGACTTTTTTTTTAACCTTACAGGTAAGTCTAGAATCTCAAGGCTCTTGAAATCCCACGAGCTCCTGAAAACACACGAGGGCTCTTGGAACCCTAAACTGGATCCTGGAATCCCACGAGGGCTCTTGGATATCCACAAGGTTTCCTGTAAACCTTTGAGAGTTCCAAGAACACCACCAGGGGGGGGGGGGTTTGGAAGCAAATAAGTGCTCCTGGATCATCGCGAAAGTTTCTTAAACCCCCATGAGGTTTTCTGGAATTCTGTGAGACCTCCGAGACTACAAAGGCTCCTAGACCCTTACAAAGCCTCCTGGAACCTCACGAGGGCTCCTGGAACCCCATGAGGGCTACTGGAACCCCACAAGGGCTCCTGAAACCCCACGAGGACTCCTGGTACCCCACGAGGACTCCTGGAAGCCCATGAGGACTCCTGGAAGCCCACGAGGACTCCTGGAACCCCACGAGGACTCCTGGAACCCCACGAGGACTCCTAGAACCCCACGAGGTCTCCTGGAACCCCACGAGGTCTCCTGGAACCCCACGAGGACTCCTGGAACACAACGAGGGCTCCTAGAACCCCACGAGGTCTCCTGGAACCCCACGAGGACTCCTAGAACCCCACGAGGTCTCTTAGAACCCCACGAGGGCTCCTGGAACCCCACGGGGTCTCCTAGAACCCCACGAGGTCTCCTGGAACCCCACGAGGGCTCCTGGAACCGCACGAGGGCTCCTGGAACTCCACGAGGGCTCCTGGAACTCCACGAGGACTCCTGGAACCCCACGAGGACTCCTGGAACCCCACGAGAACTCCTGGAACCCCAAGAGGGCTCCTGGAACCCCACGAGGGCTCCTGGAACCCCACGAGGGCTCCTAGAACCCCACGAGGGCTCCTGGAACTCCACGAGGTCTCCTAGAACCCCACGAGGTCTCCTGGAACCCCACGAGGGCTCCTAGAACCCCACGAGGTCTCTTAGAACCCCACGAGGGCTCCTGGAACCCCACGAGGACTCCTAGAACCCCACGAGGTCTCCTAGAACTCCACGAGGTCTCCTGGAACCCCACGAGGGCTCCTGGAACCCCACGAGGGCTCCTGGAACCCCACGAGGGCTCCTGGAACCCCACGAGGACTCCTGGAACCCCACGAGGGCTCCTGGAACCCCCACGAGGGCTCCTGGAACCCCCACGAGGGCTCCTGGAACCCCACGAAGACTCCTGGAACCCCCACGAGGGCTCCTGGAACCCCACGAGGGCTCCTGGAACCCCACGAGGACTCCTAGAACCCCACGAGGTCTCCTGGAACCCCCACGAGGGCTCCTGGAACCCCACGAGGTCTCCTAGAACCCCACGAGGTCTCCTGGAACCCCCACGAGGGCTCCTGGAACTCCACGAGGACTCCTGGAACCCCACGAGGGCTCCTGGAACTCCACGAGGACTCCTGGAACCCCACGAGGACTCCTGGAACCCCCACGAGGGCTCCTGGAAGAGTCACACAACGTTAAAACCCCTCAACAACAACTAGAATCTGGAGCCGTGCTTCACAACCTGCAGCAGCAGCTTCAACATGATTTACAACGGTCTGGCGGGAACCGAATATGACGGCGAGACACGACTTTCGAAATCGAGCTTCTGCAACATAAAATTTGCGTTTTATGTTGCAGAAATGTTCTATAGCTTCCTGTGCATCTTGTAGGGTGTGTATTCCCATTCGGGTTTTCATGACGAAGGAGGTTTTAGGTGATTTATATACAAGGGCGAAAGGAATTCCTAGTAAATAAGAGGCGATCGTATCCTCGTCCTTCAGACGAGGATAAGATCGATCACCACCGTCTTGTGAGCGGGGGGGACTGGAGAAGATGAAAGGAACAGTAACATAAGATTATTCATTCAATAGTGATACACTGAAATATGTATGTGTTCGCTCTTTGTGTGGGTCAACGGTACACATATGACACAGTAGTGACACTGTGATCAGCGTGAGACACGTGGACGGTACACATATGACACAGTAGTGATACTGGTGGTCAGCGTGAGACACATGGACGGGACACATGTGACACTGTGGTCAGCGTGAGACACATGGACGGTACACATATGACACAGTAGTAACACTGTGATCAGCGTGAGACACATGGACGGTACACATATGACACATGTGACACTGTGATCAGCGTGAGACACGTGGACGATACACACATGACACAGTAGTGACACTGTGATCAGCGTGAGACACATGGACGGTACACATATGACACATGTGACACAGCAAGAGCAGAATAATCTCCCACGTGGCCTAAACACATTGACGTAATATTGAATCTTGAATTTACGTTGAAAGAACGTCGATTTAGGGTTAACAGTACGTTTATTTAACGCATATCCTGTTGATAGACCGTTGATGTAACACTGATCCTGTATTGATTTAACAGGAACACGTGAGCAATAGTTAAACACCAGGAACTCAACCTCCTGTGAGGGATTCGAACCCCCGAAAGCCAGGTGTTTCCCACATCCCGTTGACATAACGAGTACTCTAGCCCACTGCGCCGGGAAAGGCTTAATCTACGGTTCGAATCCCTCACAGGATTCGCGTTCTCCAGCAGATGAACCAGCTGGGACGAACAGTCACATATTTTACGAAACCTTTTTAGCATTCGGAGAAACATTTTATATTAGTAAAGTTTGTTTAGCATTTTCTACAGCTGATAAACATTGCCTTAAAGGAGGTACGTTTACACAGAGAGTACTCACAGAAGAGTGACCACAGAGAGTACTCACAGAAGGGTGACCATAGAGTACTCACAGAAGGGTGACCACAGAGTACTCACAGAAGGGTGACCACAGAGAGTACTCACAGAAGGGTGACCATAGAGTACTCACAGAAGGGTGACCACAGAGAGTACTCACAGAAGGGTGACCATAGAGTATTCACAGAAGGGTGACCAAAGAATACTCACAGAAGGGTGACCATAGAGTACTCACAGAAGGGTGACCATAGAGTACTCACAGAAGGGTGACCATAGAGTACTCACAGAAGGGTGACCATAGAGTACTCACAGAAGGGTGACCATAGAGTACTCACAGAAGGGTGACCATAGAATACTCAAAGAAGGGTGACCATAGAGTACTCACAGAAGGGTGACCATAGAGTACTCACAGAAGGGTGACCACAGAGAGTACTCACAGAAGGGTGACCATAGAGTACTCACAGAAGGGTGACCATAGAGTACTCACAGAAGGGTGACCACAGAGAGTACTCACAGAAGGGTGACCATAGAGTACTCACAGAAGGGTGACCATAGAGTATTCACAGAAGGGTGACCATAGAGTACTCACAGAAGGGTGACCATAGAGTACTCACAGAAGGGTGACCATAGAGTACTCACAGAAGGGTGACCATAGAGTACTCACAGAAGGGTGACCAGCATAGAGTACTCACAGAAGGGTGACCATAGAGTACTCACAGAAGGGTGACCACAGAGAGTACTCACAGAAGGGTGACCATAGAGTACTCACAGAAGGGTGACCATAGAGTACTCACAGAAGGGTGACCATAGAGTACTCACAGAAGGGTGACCATAGAGTACTCACAGAAGGGTGACCATAGAGTACTCACAGAAGGGTGACCACAGAGAGTACTCACAGAAGGGTGACCATAGAGTACTCACAGAAGGGTGACCATAGAGTACTCACAGAAGGGTGACCATAGAGTACTCACAGAAGGGTGACCATAGAGTACTCACAGAAGGGTGACCATAGAGTACTCACAGAAGGGTGACCATAGAGTACTCACAGAAGGGTGACCACAGAGAGTACTCACAGAAGGGTGACCACAGAGAGAGTACTCATAGAAGGGTGACCACAGAGAGAGAGAGTACTCACAGAAGGGTGACCATACAGAGTACTCACAGAAGGGTGACCACAGAGAGTACTCACAGAAGGGTGACCACAGAGAGTACTCACAGAAGGGTGACCATAGAGTTCTCACAGAAGGGTGACCACAGAGTGAGAATACTCCCAGAAGAATGACCACAGAGTGAGAGTACTCCCAGAAGAATGACCACAGAGAGAGAATACTCCCAGAAGAATGACCACAGAGTGAGAGTACTCCCAGAAGAATGACCACAGAGTACTCACAGTATACGAAGGTCGGCGAGGTGTTCGAAATCAGCCGAGTGAATCACCGTCAAGTTGTTTCCCTCTAGGTCTCTGTGGGACAGACAAACACACACACACATTAAACTCGGGTTAAGAGAGTGCCATCCGACAGCTCTAATAATAAGTAATAAAACCCATGCAACACTTAAGACAAAGACACAAGATACTTAAGACACAATTAAGTACTGTTATCGTGGATTTGCTCGAGCTATTTACATAATAGACATAATACAGGCGGGACCAAAGAGCTAGAGCTCAACCCCCTATTAGGTGAGTACATGTGGGCCTAATATCCAGCTTATATACACTATGAGAATCACAACAATGTGATGGATCAGTAAGAAAACCTAAGTCGCAGGATAGGAGATTCGAACCAGGGTCGTGCTATGAGCATTTTATTTCCTCATTATCCACTCTACAAAGCCATGATATGCTCATGTTTTCTGGCACATGTAAGCATACCTGGCGTATACCTGGAGTATACCTGGGGCATACCTGGGCTATACCTGGAGTATACCTGGGGCATACCTGGGGCATACCTGGAGTATACCTGGAATATACCTGGAACATACCTGGGGCATACCTGGAGTATACCTGGAATATACCTGGAACATACCTGGGGCATACCTGGAGTATACCTGGGGCATACCTGGAGTATACCTGGTGCACACCTGGAGTATACCTGGGGTATACCTGGAGTATACCTGGGGCATACCCGAAATATACCTGGGGCATACTTGGAGTATAGCTGGGGTATACCTGGGCATACATGGAGTATACCTGGGGCATACTTGGAGTATACCTGGGGCATACCTGGATTATACCTGGAGTATACCTGGGGCATACCTGGGGCATACCTGGGGTATACCTGGAGTACACCCAGGGCATACCTGCAGTATACCAGGGGCATACCTGGAGTATATCTGGGGCATACCTGGATCATACCTGGAGTATACCTGTAGTATACCTTGGGCATACCTGGAGTATACCTGGGGCATACCTGGAGCATACCTGGGGCATACCTGGAGCATACCTGGAGTATACCTGGGGCATACCTGGAGTATACCTTGGGCATACCTGGAGTATACCTGGGGCATACATGGAGTATACCTTGGGCATACCTGGAGTATACCTGGGGCATACTGGAGTATACCTGGGGCATACCTGGAGTATACCTGGAGTATACCTGGGGCATACCTGGGGCATACCTGGGGTATACCTGGGGCATACCTGGAGCATACCTGCAGAGGGTTCTGGGAGTTCTTCCACTCCCCAAGCCCGGCCTGAGGCCAGGGGGGTCGACTTGTGAGAGTTTGGTCCACCAGGCTGTTGCTTGGAGCGGCCCGCAGGCCCACATATCCACCACAGCCTGGTTGGTCCGGCACTCCTTGACATATACTTATACTTGGAATACTTTTCAACTAATCAAAGCCATTCATGGTCCAAGTCGGTAGTGAATGGGCTTCAGGTCAGAAACGAGGGTTCGATCCCGTCTCAGAGCTTCAGTATGTTTTCAAACATTAATAGACATTAGTAGTCATAATTAAGTGATCTGTCGTCACGGGCGGGGCAGAACACTGGACGCGTGATCCCGTGGTCCCGGGTTCGATCCCGGGCGCCGGCGAGAAACAATGGGAAGATTTTCTTTCACCCTGATGCGCCTGTTACCTAGCAGTAAATAGGTACCTGGGCGTTAGTCAGCTGTCAGGGCTGCTTCCTGGGGGGAGGAGTCCTGGTCTAGGACCGGGCCGCGGGGACACTAAAGCCCCGAAATCATCATCTGAAGATAACGGTGAATA